TTGTAATAAACTTTTTATTAAATATAAATGCAGAGGATTGTTTTCAATAAATTCATTAACTTATACAACTTTAATTATTTACAAAATAAATCAAAGGTTTGTAGGTGTAACTACACACAAATTGATAAAGAAAAACGAAGGAAAGGTAGGTCTTTTTAAGTGTGGAAATTTTATAAGTATACGCCATTATAAATGTAAAAAAAGAACAAATTATCAATCATCCATTCTTGATAACATTTATAATATACGGATGAAGTCTTAACAGTCGAACTGCTAATTCTAATAAAATGTACACATATACACATGTAAAAAATAAAAAATACCTTTATTCGTTTCTTTTCTTTATCTACAAAATAATATAAAAGCTTATAACAGCAATTACTATCGTCTTTATTATTTTATTTCTACTTTGTCCAATTCAATTTTTGATATATCTAAATTAAAATTTGACAGGTACTTCATTTATATCTAAGACCAACAATAACTAGACTAGATAATAACTAGACCTCAACAATGATGAAAAAAGCATTACTTTAAACTAACTTTAATAAATAATATTGCAAAATTATTAGAGTTATAAATAATTTACAATTATATTTGTTCGTAAATATAGTATATGTTATGCTGCGTGAACATTAGAATAATAACCTGTCAAATGATTGACCAATCATATGATGGCCAAATCTTGAAGTTGGATACATATTGATGTTAAAATATACTTTATCTAGCTCTTAATGATCAATATATGATCCAAGTCGGGTACCTCACCTTTTAACGACCTCTGGTGAATTTTTTGGAACTACGTTGTGTTTGGTGCCATATCGTCTTTTGTTTTTATATGGGATTTTAGGGAAGTTGAAACACCTATTGTCTTTCATCGTGGGTAAGAAATAATATTAATGAGTGAAACGTAACCTCACTTCCTCTTTTATATTTAAAATCACATAAAACACAAGTCTTTTCCTAGTATAAAATAAACCCTACAAATCAAAGTCACTTTTAATACTACCATACCTGAACGAATTTAAGTAAAAACTTAAAAAATTGTCTAAAAATAACTGGAAAAATAAATATAGAGATAGAGATATTAACCTATTTCTCTCTAATTAGAATCTTTCATGTGACAAAAAAATTGTTTACTGTCCTCTCTGTACTACGATAAAATCGAATAAAGAATACATTGACATTTCAAAGTTTTTTCTGATTTGAAACAAAAAAGTGACTATAAAATCAGAAAGTCACGTGTATTTGCAAAAGAAGTCGACAAATTTATAATTGAAACGAATGATGAATATCTATCAAAAAAATCACATTTTATTTTGTGGTTAGCTTTTACCAAGAACTATATTCTAGGCTATTATGGTGGCACTTGTTTGCAATATACCGGGTGTTCAAATTAAAGTGTTACAGCTATATACCGCCTTAAAAAAAAAAAAAAAGTTTCAGACGAAAGTTTTATAGTTTTGTAGGGAAAAAATTTTGGCTAAAATCGTTTTTTATAGCGAACTATAATATGGTCAACTTTTTTTTCGCCTAGCAAAATTTTCAAGTAGCTGTTACTCAAAAAGTAAAAGTCCAATAAAAAAAATATTTTTATCAAAAGTTTCTTATTTTTTTATGTACTTTAAGAATATGTAAAAAAAATGGGATTCCCATTTAAAAAAACAAAGTCCACCTCGATATGGCCATATTATGTTTCCCCAAAAAAACTATAAAACTTTTATCTGAAATGCATATTTTCGGCGGTATTTAACTGTAACACTTTAATTTGAACACCCGGTATATGGTTTAAGATGATTTAGACATCCCAGATAATATTATTGTAATAAATATTCCTAATTCAAAGAATGAAATATTTGGAAAGTTTGTCATTGTTAAGCCACAATGGATTATTGTTGTATACTTATCTAACAGTCCATCTAAAATTGAAAAAGTTTTTATTTTATACTGTAGAAGTAAACATATTTAACAAACAAAATATGATACTAAAAATTTAAATCTCACAAATTCATACATTCATTTCTCATGTAAAGCTGCTTTCTATAAATTGTCAAATTTTCAATGATTTATTGAATAAACATTGTTAATTATATTAGTGATTAAACGTAGTTTTAATTTAATTTATCTGATTCTATTGTTTATGGTTCGATGACTTTAATCTGAAATTAAACATAAAGCAATGGAATTAATTTCATAGGATTTTTTATTTTTAAATAAATACTCCTGAATATTCATTATAAAGCATATCGCATAATATTTAGTTTTTTTTTTATATTATGTATAATTAAATTCATGTTTAAATTGAATAAAGTTTTAAAGTTATGAAATTATTTAATACTTTTTATAATTATTAATTCGTCGGTATTTGTTAAAAAAATTGTGACAAATAAAAAAAATATTTGAAATTTAAATAGTGTTATTCAATAATATCAACGTCTCCTACTTTTTTTACTAAAATTTATCATGTTTTAAATGTCTTATTTATTTATAAATTTTATTTAAAAGAAAATCAATATGGCGTAGTTATGTTAGCAACCCCTGTATGAAACGCGCCAGGGATATCATCTAGTCCTATGATCTACTGCTTAAACAGAATTAGTTATTGAACAGTTTGCCAGAAGAATACGAAAATTTTCAGATGTGCAATAGAAACAAGAAATGAACTTCCAACATCAGAGTCTTAAAATTTAAATTACAGAGGAAAATGAGGTAATGATGGAGAAGAAAAAAAAAGAATTCTAGGCATAACTTCAATAAATTAAGAAAGTTTCCATATAGGTGTAACTATTGTAAAAAGATCGGACATAAAGCAGTTAATTACCTCTTTAAAAAATCTCAAAATGCTAAAAATGCAGAAAATAATGCCGAAGAGAAGGAACCAGATGAAGAATTAGGGGGTTCGAGCAGGTTTTTCGGGTTAAGAAGGATAATATAAACACAATGAATGGTGTTTAGACAGTGGTTGCACGTCTCAAATGTGACTCGAGAAAGAATCATTTACACTTCAAATGTTACAAAGAATCAAGCAGTCAATCTCACTAACAAGTCTTCAACAGAAATTATGAGACTAGATACAGCAAAATTACATATTCAAGGTGAAAAAATTACTGATAACGGCTACGAAGTTATATTCTCACATAACAGTGGGCGCGTTTAGCCGACGCAACAGTTGATTAAAACCGAAAACATGTTTCTGATATGGTGGAAGTCAACAATTAAAAGTAGCAGAATAGTATAAATTGGTTCAGCGGTTAGACAATGCACATATACTGGTGACATCTAGCGATGATATAAATAAAATCAATTTCGGTTACAAATTAAGATTATGTAAAAATAGTCATAATCAGTCATAACGGATATTTTTAACCATGGTTTAACTTTAGAATTTTAAAAGCAACAAAAATCATGTTCAAAGTTAAGAAATGTGCGGTTAAAATCACATATAATCAGCTTTATCCTCCTAGAGTAGTTAAAAATCAATAAAAAATCACTAGAAATCTCTAAATTAAAAATTCCTTTAGTTTGCAACACTGAGTATAATACTTCGTTTACAAGTCACCACAAAATTTTCCTGGTGTCGATGTTGAGCAACGGTTGAAACTAACCAAAACTCAACAAGTGACGTACAGAAGCCCCAACAAGTCACCATACTCAACTGTTGCATTGGCTGAACGCGCCCAATGCTAGTATAACAGATCAGGTCGGTAATTTAAATGTATTAGCTAACAAAAGGAATGGGCTTTCAAAGAATACAAAGACAGACTGACTAGCTTTTCCAGCTGAAAAGAGGAGGAAAAACCGCCACGAAATCAGCAATCGCTGGAAAATACATTATCAACTCCGCTGCAAAGAAGATTAAAGGCGAAGCTGACTAGGTAACTTCAGACCAACTGTTGCCAATACTCTTAAAGAGAGGAGGAACTTTGCTATTGAGATGAATTTGAGTGTTACCACATGTGACATTTGGTTTATTAAACTCTCTGTGTATCTCAAGGTCCTCAAGAAAATTTAGTTTAAATTTGCCATTAAAAATATTATGAAGAACAGTAACATTCTCAGAAGGAGTGAAGTTATGATTATTGAATTTAATATGATGTCCAAAAGTGGACTTATCTGGATATCTAATGTGACTCAACATACGAGCTGTTGAACACATTAGATATCCAGATAAGTCCACTTTTGGACATTTAACGTTTAATAATGATAGAAATTTATTAAAAACGCTGATATTTAAGGCACTAAAGTTAACCCGAGAAAATTCTTATCTCTTGTATTTTCGGAATGGTCGAAAACTTTAGGAAGTGTTAAAAAAAGGAGTAAGATAAGAGATAGGATTCAATCCCCTCACATCCCCGTTTTACGCACACTGCCTTAACAATTTGGTGATATTATGTGTCTTGAGAATATTGAGAGCTTTAAATTTGTGCAATGATAAGGCAGCACTCTACAGAGAAAAGAAAAAAAGGTGGGAAATTTTCCCATTTAAAAACTACTAGATATTTATCAAACAGCAAATCTTTTCATAGATTTAATACAGAATGGCGGGTAAATGTTTTTTGTTTAATCTTTTTTAAAATAATATTTTTTCAAGTTTTACAAAAAATTTAAGGTTTCTTCAGTCTAAGTTTTGTTAGTGTTGGTGTTTCCTTAAAATTTCACAAAAATCGGAGTAAAAATAAAGACTACGTGCCTGATTCCTGCATATTTTTGGTATTGAAATCTGCATACTCATTCTCGCTACTACAATATTCGTATGGACTACTTTAGAGGAAAATATTTTCAAAATATCAAAAATATACCCATAGTTTTCATAAGTATGAACGAAGTAAGAAATGAATCAAATCGAAAATTGCAATTTATCCAAATTACTGTATACCTGATTTTTGTAAGTTTTAATGGTATTCAGTGTTTGGTTTCTTCTTTAAAAATTTGCATAAAAAACAGGTTTTTGACACTTTAAAATTAAAATTTATTTTTTTTTTTTTATTATTTTAAAACAGAGGGAAGTCGATCGCCAGCTTTCCAATTCACTCCAATGATGAGCATTCTGATTGGAGTGGTGTCTGCATTATTGATCGTTGCACTGGTCGTCATTATGGTACTCCGGATGCAGTGCACCCATCATAACGATATGCGAATAAAAGGACACAAGGGTACTGCAGCAGCGGTCAGTAGGTCGAATTTAGACCATAGAGGATCAGGAAGCCTTCCTACTTTAAGTGACAAAGGAGGTGAGTAAATAACACTTATAATAAGATCAAATCAAACCGTAGCGTTTAGAATAGCCAAATGGAATAAATTCAGTGTCACAATATATATGCTTACATACAGTGTGTGCCATGACGTAGGATCCATTTGGAACTTTTTTTTATATTGACAAAAACCTCTGCCTTTTTATAAACTTAAAGTAGCCCATAGCGCAGTTAGGTATTGATATTCGTTATCTTTCAGATTCGCAATTTTTATAAAAAATCGTTTAAAATGGTATTTTTTTTATAGAAAAGTTAGTACATAAACTTGTTTCTTATGACATTTAACGTCAACATACCGATTTTAAACGATTTTTGTTTCGGTTTGTTCTTTTTTGTGTAATACTTTATTGAGCGTTTTCATTTGGGCGGTTCAATTTTGCTTCTTTTTGTACGTTGTGGTTGTGTTTTGAGGTGACACTTCAGGAGATTCTCGCATTTTTCGTTTTTTGGATTATGTTTTGTTTCTTTGTACTATCCAAGCTGCTTCTTAATTGACTATTTCTTCTTTCGAGTCTGTTTCAATATGCTGTTGTTGTTTTTGCATACCTAACATCTTTTCCATTTGTTGTATTCTTAATTGCATTTCCTGCAATTGTTTACTCAACCCCTGTATAGCTAATTCTTTCTTTGAGAGTATAAATCTACATTTTTTGTCAATTTTTTCCTCGTCATCGCAAACTGGTATTTTCATATTAGTTTGATTCTCCTGTTTCATGGCCTGATTTTTTTGCGCTTCAGAAGATTCGGTTTTTTTGATTTTCTTTACACATTTTAAAATTATTTTTATTGGCACACTTTTACTTTTGCTTTTAAACATTACCTTTAGCAATCATTGTTTTGTTTTGAAAGATCACAATTTAGCACATATGTAAATACACGCAATTGATCTTAACCTAGATTCCGAGTAGTCTTTTGAAATATTCAACTGCACTCTCCGATAGTCGAACAAATACTATTCATTATGATGAGTTTGCAAATTAGAAACACCTAATTTAAAAACAACAAAATCACTTACTATCCAATATCTTTCAGGTGGTAGCCCGATATCAAAACACGATTCAAGTGCAGGCGAATGTGACAGTGACGAAAAGAATCCAGATATAATTCCTCAAGCTTTAGATGACGATGAAGGTTCAGAGTACTCTAGAAAACGACAACACATTTCTACAATAGAAACATCACCCAATCGTACGCTACAGCACCAACCAGGAAATTCGAATTATATGGGATTTTGCACTCTTAGAAACGGAATGCCTTCACATGATTTGTCAGCTCAGCAAAAACTGGTAAGTTTAGTTTAAATTATTAGTATTCAATACTAGATATTGTTAGGTGCCATTTTGGCCTCTGTAAGTGAATAAAAATTTTGTTAAATAATATTTATTCAGTCAGTAAAGCCATTAATAAACTATTAATGGTTTAAATTTAGTGAAACATAAATGCTGATCAGTTAATTACAAAGTAGGTTGAAATTTTGAGACATATTAAGCCTAAGGTGCATCTGTGGCTCTTTGAATTAGTTTCTACAACAGATCCGATTTTGTCAAACAAAGCTCTAGTGAAAAGAAGAAGGCCACTACTAATAAAACTAACTATAAATAATTGCAAAATGCAGTACAAATATACATACAACCCGAAAAGATTGTAACTGTACAACGACTTTAGCTGCTATCAAAGTATAAACATCAATAGAGAAGAAGAAAAATGTAGCACAATAAAAAAAGCGAAAGTTCATTTCAAAATTAATTGTTTTTTATTTTGTATCTAAGTGTTAATCTGATACTATCTCTGAATTTGAGTTTATAATAATCTTACTGGTTAAATTGTATGCACAACAGAAAGCTTTGGTTCAGATTCTGTGTTTTTTAAAAACGTTAACCCTCAAATTATAAGAGGTTGAAGTTTCTGTCTATTAACCTCATCCACGTACTTATATTTAAAGGAAGAACATTCTTGCTTATTGAATTTATCCTAATTATACATAAATATATTGGTTTATTAGTTGCCAGGTCCTCCACAAATGATAACTCCTTTCGCATCTTGTACACTGCCCAGACAACCACCTCAACAGTGGCTCTACGGCCCCATGAGTCACTTACCCCCAGGAGTGTATCCAGTGGCGTATCGGACAGGACCGCATCCGCCGCAGAGGCAACATCCGCAGACGAGGGAACCGCCAATAGCTCTACAGCCCTTGTCGACGACTGAGGAGGAACCCTCCGCCGAAACACCGCTAGTGCCAAACAAAAGAGAAAGTACCGTCTGACAAATCTCTCCGATCTAATTGTTATCAATATCGAGCACAATAAGACAGGGTTTCTCAACGTATAAGAAAGATATATTTGTTTTTTGGTGTTTTGTGATTTTTTCGAATTGAACTGGGTGTTAAAGATAGATTTTTAAAATTTAAAATGTAGGTTTAAATGCCATGTGATTTAAATGAGTGTTCGTTTGTACATGAAAGTCAAAGGTGAAGATGATAAGTGTCAATTATTTTCTAAAAAAAATATACTCTAATAAATTGAAAACTAATCTAAAAGGTAATTGGGACTGGTCCATTTAATAAATCTTTGTGAGCGTCATGCATTTAAAATTACGAAATGTAAAATATTTGAATTTTAATTAAAAAAATAATAAAGTCAGTAGTATGAATACAAAAAGTAAATGTTTACCAATAAAAAGGAAAAGTACAAACTATTAAATTTTAGTTGATTTTAATTTATAAAGGTATTTACACAAATTTTGTTTTTCTAGTAGGACATTATAAATATGTTTCTTTCTCAGGATGGTAAAGTATTGTTTCTAAGATTGTAATATCTAAGTTCTTTCGAATCTCAAAATAATAAAAAAACTTTCAGGTTATTCAAATTTACGATCGTAATAATTATATATAATTTTAAATTCGTTTAGATTTGATTGAATGAATCCATGAATACATGGTCGAATTTACAAGATCAGGATCATAATCTATAATTGAGTAGTTCCTATTTTTAACAGGTGGTGGCGTATCTTATTTTTAGATACCTATTAGGTATTCCAACGACCTATCTATCAAACAATAGCTGCCGGTTGGCAGGGCTGGTATATATATTTTAAACACAGGTTGATATGATGATATTTTTATTCGAACTAGTCATGGTGTTATTATCTTAAGCTGAATACTATTTCCCTATTAGCCTCAGTGACCCCTTCATCAATTGACTGGGTCTATGTCGTAACCTTTTCCAAATACCAACCAGTTTGAAATGCCTAATATGATTTTAATCATTTGTATATTATTTTATTTAATATATGCAATTATTTGACAGCCCGCTATAGTACTAAGTTCAAAATTTTCAGAATAATGGCAAAACTAGAAATACGAGCTGTCATAAAATATTTTCACATTATTATTAAATATTAGCTTTAGATAGCATTTTAAAAAACGTAAATTATTATTAAGGGATTAAATTAGGACAGTCAAGGAAGGAAAGAAGATGAAATCACTTAGGGAAAAAAACGCTATATGATTTGGTTACGAAATAAAACACTTAAAATCTTCTATCCAACCCTTAGAATCGATATCCATACATTTTTGTTTACGTACTATTTTTTGAAGAAGGAAATCCGTTTCTCTTGAGATTTCTTAAAAACCAATTTTTTTTATAGCATCTTGCCTCATTAACTGTGTGAAATAGGAAATCAAAAATATCTTTTTTTTGCAGTTTAGTCTGAAGCATTATTATTACCAATTTTAAATTTTCGCCGTTATAACTTCAATTTTTCAAATACTTTTGAGTAGCAGTTTGTTATCCTGTATTCACTATAGCAAGCTTGCGTTTTTATAAAAGTTTTTTTTTACTTTTATTAGATTATTCTTCTCTTAAACTTCGGTGTCTTCTTCTCCTGCTCCTCCTCTTATATTATTATTTTGTTATTACAGTATAGGTATTAATCTTCTCTAATAATAATAATCCATTTTTTCATTGTTCATACCTATGCTTCCTATTATTTATTATATTTTTCATATCCACATGTCTCTCTTATAATTTTATTTACTTTTCCTTTTCTACTCTTTTTTTAATGAGTTGTTCTTGTTACTTTCTGTATTTCAGTTTCTTAACTACTATGTTTTTATGATTAAATCCTAATTTGATAGTTTCCTTATGTATTCATTTATAGTAATAAATTATACATTATAATTTTAAATTTAAGTTAAAATCACATAAATTTTTGTACATTGCTTAAGGTAAATTATTAAGAAATTCATCAAACTATTGTTAAAAGAAAATTTTGAAAATATCACAACATTTATAACTGTTAAGTTAGTTTCAAAGGTAATAAACCTATACGAAAATACCTAAGCATTTGATAAGAGACAATTGCAATAATATTGTGTTACTTAAACAGGACGAAATTAACTTGAAACATATATTGAAAGACATGTCCTTTATGTAATCATCGTGCGTCATTCAATACTTAACCTCAAGATGGCTGATGATAGTTACATCACGGAAGCATAAGCCAGCCGCAAACATTCGTTTCCGTATTAGGTTTACGAATTAGATTTTCAAATCGGAAAATCGATTTTTTCTAACCTAATATTTTCATAATGTAAATTTTGAATGTCTGCGATATTCATGTAATTTCCTTTCTGTTTTTTGAATTCAGAAACCGAATACGGAACACGTACTTAAAATTCTCCAAGCAGTCGAAATAATCCTCGTTAGTCAATTTGTTTTTAACGATATTATATCCTCTTTGACGTTTTTGTGAACCACATGTTTCTTAAATTCTTATTGACTTCCATTGTATATTTACTCATATTTTTTCTTTCTTACCTCTAACATTCTGTCTCTCTTTACGTCACTTACTTCTACTGTAGGTATACGTATATATTTTAGATCTTAACTACGCGTAATGTCTATTAATGTTTTCGTTAACCTGGTACTTCGTTAGATCGAATTCATTTTAAGTAAAGGTATATTATATTTATTGTTTTTATCATAATCACTAGTATCACATTTAAAGGATTATATCTAATCATTTCCTCGCTTCGTTTGAATTTAATTCGTAAATGAAATAATATTAATAATTTGCCTCTATCTTCTCCCAATTGTAATGAAAATCAAACATACACGATTTTGAATATTTTGATATACTCGTATCTAATATAGCCACTCCAATATATAGAGGTTTGTTAAAAATGTGCTCGTATTTTCTTAGTTTACTGGAAATCCAATCTTTTTGAAAAATTGTTTGATTATGGAACGTTGCGCTAACGAATAAACTCTTAGAACCGTAAGCGCCCTTAAAATGATAATTTCAATACCCTGTGTGGTCGAATATTTTCCATGGTCTTCCCGAACACTACATTGTTTGTCAATTTAAATTGATTCTTTTATGCTGGTGGCTGCGGTCCTGAGTCGAGTATTATTCAGTTCATTTATTAATTGATTAAATTTTATTACTTTATGTATCTTCGTTAATTGTAAACCGTGTGCCAAAGCCTGCTTTAGGTCATGATAAGGTGAAATATATTTTTCTTTATTATACAAGGCAGTCATTAATTTTGAAATTTTTGAACTAGGTGGTATACGGACCAGTCCTGAGGTACTTCATATAATTCATGAAGTATTGGAGATACAAAAAAAAATTAAAACAAAAGATGTAAATAAAATGTAAGGAAGATATTTATAATTTGATATCCTACAACTTTTATTAATGCTACTTTGATCTAGGAAACCAACCCTATAGCATAATTGACACCAGAAGATTAAATGTCATCATCTGGTTGAATATTTAGGAACAGTCCCCAAGCAACCCTGAAAAAATTATCTTGTTTGGATTTTTTTTGCAAAATTGACATCTTTTTCGGAATAATAGTTTTGATACAAAAGTTATTATTTTATAATTATGTCAAATTATGAGCAAAATATAATATTTTAAAAATCTCGATTATGCTAGTACAACATATTTTTTAATATAATAAATTTTATACCTATATATTGAATTTATAAATAATCTAATACAAGTAGTTTAAATCACCTGGCATTTCTACTATTTTTTTTTTTTTTTTTTTGAAAACAGATGTAACTATTCTACTGCTTTAATTAAATTACCTTCAAAATGCTGCAATCGAATATTACTCAAATCAATTACTAAAAATTTAATAGTTGGGATAATGAAATCATGATAAAAGTCATGTCTGTTTTCTGTCATTCCTATTTCTACCCTGAAGTTTACGAATCAGCCATTTGTTAAATCTTTTCTAGGAAATTTATAAGTTTTTTATCAAAGAATGTTTTCCTAGCAAAGCTTAAAGTGATGTACTTATTGCAAATACCTACGAAGATATATCTTGAATCTTCAGACTGTACATAGAAAGAAAAGTGTTCACATATCTCTAATTCTCCTTTTTGTATATATTTAGATTTATGTAAAAAATCATCAATGTGTGTTGTCAAAATTCAATTTTGAAATATGCAGTCTACTATTACTAAACATAGGTAGTTATTTCGATCATTTATGAATAAACCTCCAAAGTCTTTAATTTTGTAATTAAATAAATTTTAATTTTAACATTTAAATTATTTAAAAAAGTATGATTTGTATTTTAGCCGTTGTGGTCATAGAGAAAGTATAATGTGCTACTTATGCAGAAAATATATTACACATTCGTGTGATTATAGGTTACTTTCTGAACGTGCTGCACAATATACTTTTGTTAACAAAATTTAAGTTATTTTGTTGTCTGATACGATTTATGGATTTTAAATAAGTCTCCTTGTTTTCGGTGAAAATGAGACAATCTGAATCATGCAGAATAACTATAAATCTAAATAATTTTTTTATTGTGTCAATGTTTCATAAAAATTAATCGCCTCACATAAATTGATCACTGGTGTTTTAGTTCTATAGACTGTGTATTTAAAAAACGTTTTACCTTTCATCTAAAAATAAACTATCAAAATTAATGTAAGAAATAAACTTCAATCGTTTGTATATATAATATCATTTGTTACATATTTTGAATGAAATAATTATATACCTACCTTCATGTGATTTATATATAATTTAAGTTTGTAAAAATTTATAGTTGAACTTATATTGTTACATTTGGTTTCGCAACATTACATACACCATAGATATTACGATGATTTAAATAGGTATTTAAAGGACAACTGTGAAAACTGATAGTTTTTTAATTTGTTTTAATTATAATTTTTTTTTCTACGAACGTGAATAACATGAAAATACCTTTAAATAATTATATATTTTAAATAA